ATGAAATTATCTTTGAAAATTAATGTATAAGTTTGAATTTATTTCTTATTTTAATACAAACTATATAAAGAATACATGAAATTGCAATCATATATATTATCTTCAAAATAAAAATATACAAAGATTTCATTTGATACTCAAATTTAAATGTTTTTAATATTTTTATCACATTAAAATCTGCCTAGGCTTGACGGTGAAGGGCTTCACCACTAGTGGCAAGTATCTTTATGAGTAAATCTGCAAGTGGCAAAGTAAAAATAATTGTATAAGTCTAAAATGTTTGAACATCGAATCAAAGATCCTCTCTTGTATATGAACTAAGTTCATACCCTTTTAACCATAAATCCGAATACACCGATGTTATTGAATTTAAATTAAAAAATTCCTTCCAATTGAAATTTTACATTAAAAATGTAGTAAGTTAAAAATAAATACATGTTTTCTTGATGTTTGAGCAGGTTAGATAAGTTTTAGGGTATTTTGTCCAGTGATTGGCTGCTTTTGTCCAGTAAATGGCCTCTTTAAGATATATGACAATTGTACATTTTTTTGCCTAATGTAAACGTAATTAAACATGAAAAATAAGTTGCGCCGATCTCTGAAGAGTTGAATAACGTCTATAAAAATATGTTTGTTTTTCATAAAAAAAAAAGAAAGATAACATTTACTTAATTGAAATTCGACATCGTTTCTTACCATCATATTTCTTAAATGCTAAAAGAAAAAAGTTCTCTCGGGTACATTTGCAGAAGTTCGAGTCGATTTTGAAAAAATAAAAGAATGCCTTGAAGTACCGGTTCACAAGTAGGGCGCGCCTATTATTTTGCTCAAGGGCAGTATCAGTGAATTTTTCTCTCCTCGTAAAGGCATTTGCCTCAGTCGTTAAGCAATGAAATTATCCGAGGCTACAGTTAGCGCAAGATTGTCGAAGGGCTACCACCGTTCCACCATTAGAGCGAGCTGCACGACGATGAAGAGCAATCTCCTTCTTTTCTCGTTGACACGCTTGCGTTAAAAAGACTGCAAGACCCTAGAGCTTCCTCCCGCGACGTAGTGAGGGACGTCGAGTCCGGAGGTTATATACTTTTTCTCACTAGCCACCCCCTGTTCTGAAGCTCAAGCGAACGCGAGTACTACGCGATACTGCCTTCTCTACAAAGGTGAAAGTTGAGATGCAAAAAGTGCACGCTGAGCGCGATGATGAGCTTAAATATCACGCGAAAAGCGTTGCTTGTGCGCAACCTGGCTCTTTTTTTCTCTCTCTTTCACTGTCTTCCAACTCGTCTTGAAGTTGCGCACATTTTCCTTTTTCTTAACGTTGCTTTTGTCTTCTCGTACTCGAGGAAAGAGCTTATTTTTGATAAGATGAAAGTTTTGTTTAGGCTCAAACTTTTTTCCCCTCGGTGGGGCTTGGTTTTAAGAAATTACACAAGCCACGTAAATAGTAACTACAAAAGTGTCGAAACGTAATTATGATGCATGAGTTTTATAAATAAAAATTACCCTTCTCGACTAAGACGGGCTACTTAACTTTGCGAGCAATTTTTCTTTCGATCGAGTACATAAAAGAAACTTTTCGATCACTGACCAACCCCACCATCATCGTCCAACTAATATGAAAATTCTGTCGTGCGCAACAGAATGGGCACAAAAAAAGTGAAAAATGAAAGATGCAATGCAATATTCACTGCTCGACCACGAATTTTCTTCTCGGTATTTTTCTATTTACACGAAAGTCAATGCGCACACTAGCATGTATGGAGTTCAAAAAAGTGACTAACCAGGACTGCAAGCACATACACAGGAAGTGGCAAACAACGAAATGTCGAGGTAGGCACTAGGCTTCAATAATAGAATCGTGTATACAGCATTGCAACAACAGCAACCTCGTCTTTTGTCAGAGTCACTGATGCACAGCATTTTTGGCATTCAGTTAAATAATGTAAACAAAAAATATAGACTCGCGTCCAGCGGCGATAAAGACAGCGCTCGCTAATTCCCGGGCTTTCGAAGACAGCTTATGCACTTTTTGTTCCCATTAATTCGACGTTCTACGTTTCTATACAAATGTTTACCTTTTCATTTTATTTTTTTTATACGTGCGTCGACGACTGCGACTCGAAATTACATTCGAATTATGCAAGCGAACGAAAACGGGGGGTTCGAAAAAGCTATGAACAATGTATCTCTCGTCGGCTTTTTAATCCGCTAAAATATGAGGCGTAATTTTGCATCTAATTAGAAGCTTTCTCTCTGTCACGACAGGGGGTCTATTCAGAGCTAAAGCCCGCTTTCGTTAAATGTAGCTATGTATAGATTCGTAACGGCGTTACTTTGCATAAGATTCTGTGACGTATCCAAGGCTTGAATAAACTACTCTAAGAAATCTTAACAAGAAGTCAGTGAAATAAAAGTTTTTATTTGTCCGGATTTCGCCTATGTTCCGTGAAAAAAATCCCTTTGGCTCATTTGTACTAGTTCCAGCAATAAAATATTGAATGCAAGTGCAGGAAAACAGCCTCTGCCAGGATCATAAAATATTTCTCAAAATGCTCGATGCGCCTACAACATATAGCTAACTTCTTTAATTTCGTTAAGGGTACGTCGTCTCAGCTTTTGGTGAGTACAAGCTACCCTTTGAGAAAAACTCTGAGGGTAAAAAGTAAACTCGTTACGTAGACTTTAAAAAACTATACAAAGTGTTATTTACCTATACATTATCACGTACACCAGTGAGGGGGTGTCATTAAAATTTTGTCCTCGATAATCAGTTTAAAGTTTGAACGTCACATAGCTTGAAAGATGACAAAGAGAGCAAAATTACACGCGTCGAAACGAATTACTCGGCAGTTTCTCTTATGTCTCGTACAGGCATATTGTACTTGAACTATTTAAACTAAATTTTAATGTTAAGGAGACCACTACTAGTGGTTTATCGATACGCATAATTATTTTGATATGAGAGATATTGAAAGTGTCGAGTCGACTTTTTCTTCATAACCTTTAATTTGAATTTAATTTTAATCTTAAACAACTTTATTTTCTTGGTTCTTTTTTAAATTTCTTCGGTATAACAATAAATTAAATTAATACATCAGGACTTACATGAAGTAGTATTTATTAGGCTAGCTTCGATCGCTGCTATTGCGAGTATTTTTCTCATTCTCGTGCTCGCAGCGTATCGTCTTTATGCGTTCGAGGATTGAAACACGTTTCAATGGGTGAAATTATGGCGAGGATTTAAGCTACGATATAAATGAAGATTTTATCCAAAACCGACAACTTATCTGATTTATCATGAATAATCAGATTAGCAAAGACACCCGGTAAAAATTGGAAGCAAAATAAAAATGGAAGCATTGATTAATCTAGTTAGCAGGTGTAAAATTTGTTCTACAATTTGTCAAAGAGAAAATGTATGCGTCCGTCGAAGGAAACGAGATAATCGCGTTACTTTTTTGTAAAATATTTATGTGTCAGGGTAGTGAACTGAGTGCGCGAATCTTGAAATTGAATTAATTAAAATCATCAGGACGGATTTATTTTCTAGATTTTTTGCGAGGCAAGAATTTGAGTAACAAAAAGTATTTTCAACTTTCGAGCAAAGAGCCATTTTCATACGAGGCCTTGATTTGAGTGTAATTTCAAGTTTTAACTAATTATGTTCATGAGATTTTGCATCTCGACTTTTTAAATGCGCGAACGTGAATGTTTTTTCGAAATTATAATTAATTCACTGATTCGAATGCTCAATTTATTCCCTTGCGTCACGATCGAATATCTGCGATTGGCAAACGTACTTTTGGCCCCAATTAAGCTCTGTCATTAGGTCTGTAACGGGAAGAAATAAAAGAAAAATCGACCGAACGATCGGCTGCAATGGAGCGCACGGCAGTGGCGACGAGTATACGTGAGTGTACGACCAAAGGATCCTACGGAAACTCTGTTTCTGACGATGAATAGGCATTGCGGAGCATAAGTATCTGACATTTGGCAGTGGAGCGCGAGCTCGTGGTCTCTCTACCTCTCATCATTGTATGCAAGCACACAGTGGTACAGTATATATACACGTAGTTAGAAATATATATAGAAACAAGAGCTCATTCCTGTGCAGCAGCAGCTCTCGTCACTAGTATATAGGCTAATCGAAATGAAGTCAATAATCAATGATCCGCTTCTCTCGGCCTAGGCACAGGCAAGTATAGCATGTATGTGTGTGCGACTGTGTATGCATATATCTACGAGAACCGTCGACGTGTAATTGGGATTGGCTCTTATCTACCTCTATGCAAGCTACCCTTACACAGGACCACGTCTTTACTTAAGTTCCGATCATCGCATTGGTCTCGGAGCGATTGGAGCGTCGTTTGCGTGTATTATTTTGGCACATACCAGCCGCTTTATCTTAACTCTGATTTTAGAATATCTCTGTGAGCTTTTCAAAGTGATTTTTGATTTCATCGATTTCGTAAATGTTTATAACTCGGTGGAATGGCTAAGCCACTAACGAGATTATCTTAAGCTAGCTGTAATAGCATAATGAGTAATGATGGAGCCTATACTAAATATGTCTTCGCTATGCAGCAAATACGTACGACCATGACTTTAACCGCTCTATCCGACTAATGGTCCATTTCAGATACAATTTTGTAGCTTATATTCATTAATGGAAATATGCATTATTGATGTATCAGTAACAAATTATGTAACAGCACGAGTATATGCTGTGAATCGATTGATGGACATATGTAATCGAAATCAATAATACAACTTTGAGATTTACCAATTACCTGTGTTGACCGGCATTTCATTGATTCTCTGAAGTAGATGAGACGATTATTATTTACATTTGCATAATTTTTTTTGTTACATGATATAGTATTAATAATGTTTTGATTATAAATTTCTGTGTCGGACTTTGAGAAATTTTAAAAACAAGTGTCAAATACGATCATGATTTTGCTGACTGAAAACTTCACAACCATAATCGTATGTTACAGAGGGACCAACATTTGCTATGGCAATATCGAACGTGACCATCCCAGTGGGGCGGGAGGCTGTACTGTCTTGCGTCGTCGAGGACTTGTCAAACTACAAAGTAAGCACGACATAAAAATATCTATCGCACCCAATTGTACGCGCTATTTTTACTTTTTTCCAAAAAATATCGAAAATCCCCCCGAAACTTAACATCGGCCGGCGCTCGAGTGTATTGCTCGCGCGGGTGGCACACACACATACACATCTGGAATATATACGTCGAGCAAAGCCCGTCGAGCTGGGGAAACTTTCCTTTTAAGCGACGACGACAATATAACGACGACGATGGCAACGTCAACGAGGCGTGAAAAGTGGTACTTAAAGCTCTTGAGCACTTCGATTGCTCAGCACTAAGGTATCCAATGGTTGGGCGCACGCGTTCGCGTGTATTTTCGTCCTATAGCATTGTTCGGTCAAGCGCGAAAAAGGCAAAGCTTTCCACCGGGACTGGAGGACGACGAAGACGACGACGACGACAAATGTGTTTGTATAGATATATCGTAGACGAGCTTTAATCGAATTGTAAGGTATCCTATTGATTTTTTGCTACAAGATTCTGTTTACTTTTTCAAGAATCAATTAATTTCAAAAAAAAATTTCATACTGCCCCTCTGTAACAGCGCAACCCGAGTAAGTCCAAAAAGTCCGATTTTAAGCTCGAGACGTGGCTCGCACCAATATGCGTCGCTACTTGAATTTTTAAGGCTAAACTTGATAAGCGAAGGTGTACTTTTCTAGTAATAAGCGTTTTAAAATATCCTACGAGTGCATAAAATTCAGGTTCTTCTTTCTGACTTCAATTTAAACATTCCAAGAGTCTGTTTTCCCGCGCATTTCAAAAGATCCATTAACTTAATTACACGGGAGCGAGAATTTTGAATATAAATTGAACTGTTGAACTGCAGTAGAGAGCTTAATACTGAGTCAAGCTCGTGAATGTATAGCTCATATTACTCTCTCCGCTAATAGGCAATTTGATTTTATCGTACGTGGGTGTTTTGTTCGCGCTCGCTAACCGAGTTTTTTCTTGCATGTTTGAAAGACACGGTCTATGAATAAGATTTTTACGCGCAATAAAATCTTTAGCAGCTCGATTGGCTTTAGAAACATATTCTTGTGCACCTTTTTTTCAACGCAAATTGTATACAGTTGAAAGTCAATACCCTTGATCGACAGCCGGAATATGCGATATAAAAGTTCTACCGAAAGATGGGCGCGTGTATAAAAAAGATATATATATTGAGGATTTGATCATCGAGTCGAATGGGCTTAGGATATTCTCACCTCTCGCGTCTATATGAGTATCATCGCTCTCAATTTGAGAGGCGTCATGTATAGTTATGCACACCCGCAAACTCGTTTCCAGAAGTGAAAGCTTACATTATAACGCCGTTGCTTACGAGTAAAAACACACATCATCGAAGCGCCGTGAAAAAAAACACACCTCTTTGGATACCATGAAAAAAAACACACCTCTTTGGAACGCTGCGAAAAAAAACACACCTCATCGGAGCGCTGCGAAAAAAAACACACCTCATCGGAGCGCTGCGAAAAAAAACACACCTCATAGAATGCCATGAAAAAAAATACAGCACATTGGATGCCGCGAAAAAAAACACAGCTCACTGGATGCCGCGAAAAAAAAACACACCGAATCGAAATTTGTTGCGTTTTTATTCTGCTGTGTTTTTTTTCGCCGCATCCAATGAGGTGTGTTTTTTTTTCGTAAGCACAAGACCCTTATTGCGCAGACTGTCCTTTGCTCCAGCACGTGCATGTAGCCTAACAGATTTCAAGTTTCATTATTAGTTTTATTACTTTGAAAGCTCACTCAGAAATTTCTTTTCTTAGCTTATTCTTTCGTGCTCTATGAGAAATGTCCGGCTCGCATCTTGGTTCAAGCGTTGCGTCCGTTAACAATGCAAATTAAAACTTGCATTTTTCATATAATACGAGTATTTTTGTACGCGCGATGGTCATTTAAAAATGAAAAGCTTCGCTAAAGGGTTTTGTTACGCAATACTTATGTACAAGAGATAAAAATTATAATGGATATACAAAAAATGGTTCAGGATAATTCAAGCCAGCTTTTGACCTTTTCATTCGACTGAACGTGCACGTTGCTAAAGCCCAAGGGATTTTTTTCCAACGTTAAGAGTCGATAATGGTGGAGCTTTTTCGGTGGGATTTCGTGTTATATCTCACCTAGCACCTATGTGGCTACTATATGTATTATATAAAGAGAGGGGCTCTGGTGTTACTATAACAGACCGTCATGAGTATAGTATGTATCTTATGTATAGATACGAGTGCTGCTCGTTGAAACCGCCACCGGCAGTTTACTCGACAAACCACTCAAGTTTCTCTTGTATAAGTCTTTCCACTGCTCACTCCGCTCTTTCAACGGGTATATTAGCCAAGAGTCAAAGATTTTAGTACTTTGTTATTATAGCTTTATATGTTCTCTCTTTCTCTCGGAGGTAAACATATGATTTTTTTGTTATTTTGATTTTCGATTCACAATCCTTTGAAACTCGAATTTAAACAAAAGTTGATGTTCTTTCTAGCGACGCTACTCAAACACGCAACACACAAGTATGTTTGTCAGTTCGTTACATTCTCTGCGCGAACCATTTATGCAAGCATCGTATGAAATTTACAGCAAATATTTGTATTATAAAGTTCGGCGTCACAAATCTCACATGTATTCGTACGTGTGGAAGCGCAGATACGTGCTGGTACATATGGCAACATTAACAGACGCACATTTTGCATAGTGCCGTAGTAACACTGCAATTCATAATAACTGTTTTTTGATACGACCTCTCTGCAACGCGTGCAGCAGCACTATTTACAAAACACTGAATACTCGGCATTTATATGCTCGAACAAACTAAATTATTTTACAAAAGAATAAATATTCTTCAAAGCGTAAAATAATGCAGGGAAAATAAAAGGAAATACGGATTCTATTACTCTCTTCGTACGTACGTATACATTTCTATAGGCATCATTACCAACATCCGCCAGCATCGGCCGATTCACCTCATTACGCGTGAAGTTATGTTAGCTCGTTCATGAACTTAATTCTCTTTCTTGAATGTATGTAGAGTGCGACCTTATCCTAGGCAACGTGGAAAACAATAATTCATAGGTTAGAAAATAGCACAGAAAGCTAGCTTATTTTCTCGCAAAAACGTGTAGGAATGTCAAAAGCATTGTCATTAAAATGGAGCTCGCAAGCAGCAGAAAGAGAGAGACAGAGAGAGAGAAAAGGGTAGAACCTGTCTGCGTCCTGCACACACACTTACACTATATAGATATGAGAAAGTGTGTTATAAAGTCCATATATAGTATATTATGGAAGGAAAACTTTGAAATTTCACCATGGAAGGCGGTCCTTATAGGGCAGACGCTTTATGACTCTGCAGCAAAGCTAAAGATAAAAACTGACTTTACGTGATCGTGGCTTTATATGATATAAGTTTAACCATCGTCTCTAGAAAATAGGAATAATGTTAGGGAATTCGCACAGGAGTCAATTTAGAAGTAGCTTTTTCACACGTTTTTACTAATTAAATTTAAACCCTTTGCAAAGTAAATCCTGGGACACTGCTTACTCTTATAGAATTCATTAGTACAAGACAAAGTTGTTTGCGGAATCCGAAAGTTTATTATCAAGTCTGACTGTGCATTTTTACTCGTGTAATTTTCGGTAGAAAACAGAAAATAAATTCCTCAAAGAATCCTCTAACAGGTGTAAAAAATTGTCTTTAAACGCATCGTCACTTGGCTATGCTATCGTTTTCACATTTAAAATATCCTTTCCAAAAGTACGCATTAAATGAAAAAGGGGAAGAATTTGTTATTTTAACGAAATTGCCGGAGTATCCAGCTCAAGATAAGAATGAATGATTTTTTTATATTCTTGACTGATATTCTTTTCTAGTTCAGTATATGGTCAGTTGATTCAACCACACTTGGTGAGGTTACAAGGAATATGAGAGAAAAAGCGAAAACGAAGCTATGCACACTTAGAAAGGAAAGATAAGGAGTCCGCATAGTATAACAGGATGAAGCGCGCTAAGAGAAAGCTGAATACGTATATGAGCAAACTCGTGCTTGCATGGGCGTGTTCGTTTACGCGCGCGTGGAGAGGAAGACGACACGTGACGACGAACGTTTGTTATTTTTCCTCGTGCGGCCGAGCTTTGTTCCAGCGCGTTTTATATACACTCGGCAGTAGTCACGTGGAAAAAGAAATATAGAGCAAGCTCGTCAACTCGTAAAGGAGGTGTGAGCTTTTCTCTTTCATGCAACGGCGATGGCTTGCTTTGTCTCTCGTAATACATATCCGATTCTTTGTCAAATCGACTGGGTAGAAACATTTTTACCTAGTCACTTTAATGAACATGTTTAGTTTCATTCGGCCAGAGGTCCTGATTTCATCAACATTTTTGAAAAAGTTATTTCTGAGTCTGATGGAGATTTAACTGAAGAATGTCAGAAACATTATTTTTGGAAATCTACTTGTCAATGAAACATTTTTTCCGGTAGTTAAAATTTTCGAAAATTCTGTATTTGTCGGAAAAATTAGCTCAGAGGTAATCTACTGCATCTGATCTGAACTATTATATATACCAGAAAAAATAACACATTTATTTTATAATGTTCAAAACAATCTCTGAAATAGTATAATGGGCTTAATAATTTAAAACAAGCAAGAAATTAAAGTATAAAACATACTATATGTGAGTGAGAGTTGCTTTTGAGTTCAAAGTACTTTTAGAAGTTTGGTTCAAGGTTTTGGAGATGTTACGAGTTACTTGGATTATATTTAAACTCTATCAGCAGTAATAGCTATGACTAGGTTAAGGGGTTTCTGGCGCATCGGGTCCAGAATCAAGATAAAACTTTTTCAATGAATTAGAATGCGTTGAATCGAGTGGTCACCTCAGATCTTCCGTGTCGCACAGAAAATGTTGAGATATTTGACTTTAAAGTTCCGAAAATTAGTGGGCTCTTATGAAGCTGTCTGATTAAAAGACAGTAATTGAC